GGGATAGTTGTCTAAAATTATGGTTAATTGAAGAAATTTCAGTGAAATAAAGTCGATCGTAAATAAAGTCATAAACTTGGAAAGGAAACTATCAGCTTTACACACCTGCACCCTAGAATACACATGACTTAATGGCAGTGCAGAATGCCCATTGCCAGAGAAGGAGAAAGTGTAAATTAATGCTTTAGGACTGTGGTGTCAGCTGAAGGTTATATTTTATGACTCCGAAGTTGTAACCATGAAATATGAAGCCTTATTTAAAGTGTGAGAACATCTCCAAACAACTTTTACAGCATCTTCAATCAACACGGGGCAGAGCAGGAACAGGGGTGTCAGAGGAGCGCGGCATCAGGGATGACTCACGTGGCAAAGGTGCCATCTTCAGGGTACACCCGTGGCTCTGCCAGCGGGTCTCATTTCCCGAGTCCTCGGCTCCAGCATGGTCTAGGAGTCATTATTGGAACCAGGATGTTTGAAGATCTGAGGATGGCTCACCACGCAGGGAGGTACGGTGTAGTAGAGGAGACCACAGTTCTGGGCCACAGAAACCCCTGGATGCAGCTGGAACCGGAGGGAAGCTGCATGGCAGGGATGACTTGGGGCCCAGCTGGCTTAGAATAGAGCAGTGAGGACAGGTGACTGAGCCAAGAGCCACTCAGGACAGACAGGACTTGGTCGCTGGTTGGTTGTGGGGTGTAGGAGGAGTTGGGGATGCCCCCAGCTCTGGCCTGAAGGCACTGGGTGACTTGTGCCATCCTTCAAGACAGGAAGCCAGAGGAAGGCTGGGTTAATGAGAGGAGGGGACGAAGATGGTCTTGGTCGGGTTGAGGTTGAGAACTATGAGGGTATCCTGTGGTTTTCTAAACAGGAACTAGGCAGGAGACTGTAGGGCCATTATCTTTCCCCAAGACCTGCTTCCCCTCCATGTTCCCTGCTGTTGCCTTATCCACCTAGATGCGCAGTGTAGGCCAGGGCCTGGTTGGTGACTTCATGACGGTGCTGGGGCCCGCTCAGTCTCCAGGGGCTCAGGGTCCCTGCTCTCCCAACACCACTCCCTGGCCTTCTTCACTCAAGGGTCCCACCCCCTGGCTGCTCTTTCTCAGCCTCTCAGGTGCCCTGGCTTCTGCCTGCGGCCCATCAAATGTCACTTCTGTCCCGGGTGTTCTCCACTCCCGGTGGCCAGTTCTGCCTTCATCCTGCTGGCTCCCTGCCTTGCAGGCTCCAGGCTCCAGGTCCTCTCAACTTTGCTCCAGGCCCACGGCATGGCCGTCTCTGAGGAACTCCCACTCGGCATGGGAAGGGCAGACAGCTCTGACTAGGAAGTCCCAAACACGCCGCCCTCTCCACTTCAGCTGCCCTGTTCTACCTGTTTCCTCTGCCCACGTCATTCTCTCCCTTGAGGCCTGCCAGGCAGTCAGATCTCAGTTGAAGTGTATCCTGCCAAGTTGGATACACTTCCCCTTCTCTGGCTTCTCATTTCTCTCAATGAAAAGCCCAAATCCGTACAAAGGCTCTCTGTGAGGCCTCGTTCCCTGCATTCCCCTCCTTGCATCCACTACTCCAGCCCCATGGGTCCCTTGATGCTCTTCAGCGGTGCCTCTCTACACCGTGGCCTTTGCACTTGCTGTTCCATCTGGAATGCTCTTCCCCCAGATAGCCACATGGCATCCTCTCGCTCTCCTTCAGGCCTTTGCTCACATGTCAACTTCTTCGTGAGGCCCTTTCTGAAATGTCCAGACCCCCACTCCCCATCCTTCTGCATTCATCACTACCTCACTCACCCATAGGGTTTCACTCTTTATCTTGGGTATTGCCTGTTTCCTCTGACTAAAACGGAAGTTCCAAGAGAGTAGGGGTTTGTGTTGGTTTTATTTTCAGATAAATCCCCAGTACCTAGAATAGTGCCTGGTGCATGGAGGCACTCAGTAAGCACCTGTTGAATGAATGTCTCTACACAAACATTGCTTCCTTGGGAGCTTCCTTGAGTCCCATGTGCATCTCTGCTTTGACACCTTGGCTACAATTCTGGTGTCACTGCGTGTTCGCTGGGTGCCCCCACTCTGAGAAACGCTCAGGGGCAGAGATGAGATGAGTTTTTCACAATGTAGTACTGTCCATAGCCCAGTGTTTGGCACACAGTAGGTGCTCTGTTAATGGATGTGGGAGGGAAACATTCATGAGCACCTACTGAGGGATGCCCCTTCATATCTGTGCTCATACATACCCCAGAGTTGGAATTTGGAAATGGGCTTATTCTCTTCAAATAGACCTTGACCCTGTGGAATGGCATAATACAGAACAATTCAGGGGCCCTGAATAAACACACTTTGATCTCCATCTCACACTACTCCTGTGTATCCAGCTGTCATCTCAGTCTCTCCACCAGGACATCCCACAGACACGCCCAGCCCTGGTGGCCTTCCACACCGTGACATGCTCCCCTCCTGGGATCCCTGCCACAGGGAATGACACCTTTCGTCCATCCATCCATGCTCAGGACAGAAACCTGCAGTTCATACCTATAGATTTTACGTCCTAAATATCTGTCAAAGAAGTCCTCTCCCACCTTCCCATGGCCTTAGCACAGGTCTCATCTGGACTTACCTGGACTTAGGCAACTGTGGCCTCCCCACAGCATCCTGCCCCTTACCTGACTCAGACCTTCTCTCTGCCACAGACACAGCAATCTTTCTAAAATTCCCGCTCAACCTCAATCCTATTTCTTCACTACCTTTGATCCTTAAGGTGAAGTGGGATGTAGAGGAGAACTTAGCATTTGATGGGCGTCTACCACATGCCAGTCACTGGTGAATGCTAGGCCCTGTCACATTCATTGTCCCGTTGAGTTATCATAACAAACCGTTGTGTAGAGAAGTGAAAGGACTCTTAGGGAAATAAATTGCCCAGGGTCACGTGGCCTGGAAATTGTGGAGCCTCTATTTAGATCTTGATCTTTTGACCTTAAAACCCATTTTCTTTCTAATGTACTCCTTTGTGCCCATTGTTCTCTGTCATGCTGCTCCTACATTTCCAGTACCATGGCCCATTATTCCTCTCTGTGATAAGCCTTCTAGAGCTACTTATCTTAGACATGCCTTTTGCTTTCATGTTTCTGTGCTGATGATTTTTGGGTCCCTCTTCTCTTAAATACCTTGCCCTTTCTTCTCTAGCTAGTGAACTCCTATTCATCCTTCAAAACCCAACTCTAATAGCACCTCCTCTGTTAAGCTTTCCCAAATTGACTTACCCAAACAAAGTAATTGTTGCTTTACCTATGTCCTCAAAGTGTGAATTGTACTCCTGGGAGACAGAAGAGTATATTGGTTAAGAGCATAGGCCCCAGAATCAGACCCTAGGGCTTAGGAGTCCAGTTCCTTTAATCACTATGAGCTATGTCACCTTTAGCAAATACCTGAATCCCTTTGTGCCTTGGTTTTCTTACCGATAAAATTGGAATGACATTCTATAGGGTCATAGTGAGGGTTACTGTGAAAGACACAGGGTAGTTAGAATAGTGCCTGTTGTGGTATGTGCTCAGTAAACATTAGCGTTTATTATTATCACTCTGCTGCCTCTGATACCCGGTGGAACTCTGATACTACATTTTTCCTTTCTTCCTGATTTAGTCCATGTCTTTAATAGCACATGCTAAGTGTATTGTGATCACTTTCATAAAGGCTCCTGGAGGGCAGGCTGCCCAGTGAGTAAGCAGCAGGGGAAGGATTCAAACTTAGGTCTACAATAATTCCAAAGCCAATGCTCTCAGCTATCATATGTGAGAACATGTTCCTCAGATCATTTTTTCTGAATATCAAGTCTCAGCTGGGAGCAGCGAGATGACACCAGGTTACACTGAAGGGATAAGTAAAACATGGTCCCCATCCTTGGGGACTCCTAGTGGAGCTCAGATTCAGAGTGGAAGACAGATAAGTGAACAGGCCATTCAAACAGTGTGAGCCCTAGCCATTTTGGCTCAGTGGGTAGAGCATTGGCCTGCAAACCAAAGGGTCCTGGGTTCAATTCCGGTCAAGGGCATGTACCTTGGTTGCAGGCTACTCCCTGGCCAGGGCCCTGGTCGGGGCACATGCAGGAGGCAACCAATCGATGTGTTTCTCTCACATTAATGTTTTCATTTTTCCCTCTCCCACTCTCTCTAAAAATCAATGGGAAAATATCCTTGGATGAGGATTAAAAAAAAATTATAAGAACAAACAGTGTTAAGTATCACATCTGAAGTCGGACACATTGCTGAGGGAGCCCAGAGGAGAGAGCAGTTTCTAAAAGCTTGGGCAAAAAAGGCTTTCTCATAGGTGGCCTTGGAGTTGGGTCTTAACACATGAGAATAGTGGCTCTGGACAAAGGACACCCGTGTCAAAGGGAATGGTCTGACGAAGGGCAGGAAGTCTGAATGTGTGCAGTGCTGACACAGAGCTGGCCTGGGGGCAAAGGGCAGGAGGAGAGATTGTAGATGTACAGCCAGCCAGGCTGTGGTGGGCCTGGGATGCCCTTTGACTTCCGCCCCAAGGAGAAGGGTTGAGTTCTTTTTTTGTTCCATTACATCTGAGGTCTACTAAGATCTGGGGGGAAGAACCATCCTATTCACCACAGTTGTGAATACAGAAGTAAATGTGACAGCTGATTTTGACATCCTGGAGCAGTGTGGTGTAGTAGTTAAGAATGTGCCCTGAAGGGCAGAGTTCAAATCCTAGCTCCTCGGCTGTGTGACCACGGACAGGTTGCTTAACCTCTCTGTGCCTGGTTTTTTCATCTGCTCAGTAAGAACACTGATATCTAAAATTCTCAGAACAGCGCCGGGCACGTGGTAAGGGCTATGATAGGGTCGGTATCATTATCATTAGGCCAATTCAGACTGGGATCTCGGCCCATCCTGTCTGTACATCAAGTTTCAGGACCGTCTGCTTCTCACCATGAAGTGCACAGTGAGTACTGGGCCTGCAAACAGGACCAACTCACGTGAGCCTCTTGCCTCTTGCCCACAGCGGATGATGCCTGTGGCGGGACCCTGAGGGGCCAGAGCGGCATCATCTCCAGCCCCCACTTCCCCGCGGAGTACCACAACAATGCCGATTGCACATGGACCATCCTGGCCGAGCTGGGAGACACCATCGCTCTGGTCTTCATTGACTTCCAGCTTGAGGACGGTTATGACTTCCTGGAAGTCACGGGGACCGAAGGCTCCTCCCTCTGGTAAGCACCATGTCCACCCCTGCCCTGCCCTGGGGGCTGGGCCTTGCTGGGATGCAGTCTCCTCAGCGCCTGGACCTGCAGCCCAGGGCCGGGCCCCTTTGCCACTTCTCCCACCCACCATGGGAAAATTTTCCTCTCATTACAATGAGACATCACTGCATATTTTTAGAGCCCAGGTGAATTTACAGTAATTTTGGTACCTGATTTGAAGCATGTCCTGCTGAAGAATTTCATGATGGGTTTTGATTAAAGTAACTTGCATTAAGACTAGAAATGTTGTGCTCTCAGGATGTGGACAGGGTCTTGGGGAAATGATTTGAAATATTGTTCCATTTCTGGGAGACATATTTATAGCGTCCAACAAAGGGAATAGAACCTTAGGTGGCAATTGCTCTTCCCTCTCCCTAGGCACTGAGAGAGGAAAGGCGTTAGGTCTGGGTTTCTGAAGGGAAGGGTCAATCTGCTCCCTGTGGCTCTAGTTTTACTAAAAAGCACCGCTTTCCTGTGTTGTGCCCATCAGCCCTGAAGACCCTTGATGCTGACAGGCCAGAGGAGAGTGGTGATGAAGACTTACCAGCCTTAGTTGCTTTTACTCTTACTAGTGGCCCGGTACACGAAATTCATGCACATTAAAAAGGGGATTCATTAGAGGAAATATTTTAATATTGCTATTTTCCCTTTCTCTATAATAGAAGTGTCAGAGATGAAAGAAAATTACTAAAATATATATGATAATCTTCCTCCTGTCAGAGTCTGGGGTGCACCACAGGACCTAGAGTCAAGTCCCCACCCACCCACATGCGCCTCAGAATCGCATCAGACCCAGACCCGGCCAGCCCAGCCCCCCTCCATTGGGCTAGATCCAGACCCGACTGGTCCCAGCCTTGTCAGGCCCTGCCGGGCAGGGGGGCGCAGCCTCAGGTCCCCTGGCCCTGCACCAGGGCGGGGGGTGCGTCCTGAGGTCCCCCAGCCCGGGCCAGGGCGGGGGGCGCGCCTTGAGGTCCCCCGTCAAGCCCCGCCGTGGCCTGAGATCCCCTGTCAAGCCCTTCTGGGCAGGGGGCGCAGCCTCAGGTCCCCTGTCAAGCCCTGCCAGGTAGGGGCCATGGCCTCAGGTCCTCTGGCCTGGTGCTGGGGCAGGGGGCATGGCCTCAGGTCCCCAGTCAAGCCCTGCTAGGTGGGGGGCATGGCCTGAGGTCCCCTGGCCTGGCGCCAAGGTAGGGGGCGTGGCCTGAGGTCCCCCGTCAAGCTCCGGGGAGGGGAGGTGGGGCGCAGCCTCATGTCACTGCTGATTGCTTATTAAGGCTCGTTAAGGGAACTCGGCCTCCACTGTGGGTGCAGCCATCTTGTGTTAAGGAAACCCCTGCCTCTGCTGTGGCCGCAGCCATCTTTGTGGTGGAGTGTTGGTCAGTTTGCATATTCCTACTTTATTATATAGGATAGATTTGGACACAAGGGACATGCCAGTCTGAGGTTGGCTTCAGGAAGGATCCAGCTTCCTGCTTGGATGACAAGCCTTGGGGTGATGGTGGGACATTTTGAATGCTCTCTCGTGTTATCCTTGTGGCTGTGTTATGAGGGCATCGGGGGCCTATGTCAGCACATAAAGAGCCAATAGAAGGATGTGTCCAGATGTGCTCCAGACAAGATGGATCTCAGACAAGATGGGCATCTTTGCAGCCTTCCCCTTTGCACAGAGTCAGGGGAAGGCAGGGCACGGTCCCCTCGGATGAGGGCAGGGGATGTGTCATGAGGGTGCTGAGTGAAGCAGGAAGTGGGTATCTGGCAAGCGTGGTGATCAGTGGGGCTGAGGAGGAGGAAGGAGAGGATGGAAGGAAGGAAAAGGAAGAATACAGGAGGCAGGGGCACATGCATTGAGTCAGGTTTTGTGCTGTTGAGTCAGACCTGATCCTTTGAGGGTGAGAAAATCCAGCAAGCCCATGGTAGGAGCCAGGTGTGACTATTTGAAAGGGATGAAGTGGAAATGACTGCTCCCAAATACGGACTCTAAAATTAGGGACCAATGTAGCCCTGAGAACTTTGGAAGGCAAACTGACCAGGGAGCCAGAGCCTTGGTGGTGTATGCTTGTTCATGAACTTGACCAGGTCATTTACTACCCGGGATGGGGTGTTGAGAGAAGCACTTGTGAGCTGAAGAGTGAAATTGCTGTGTGGATGTTGAAGTTCTAGTCTGAGGGTAGCAGCTGGACATGGGGAGCCAGGAGTTGGGGTGAAAGTCCAGATGACCCTTCACAGAGCTGCAACCCCGGGGACCTGCCCAGTCTGAAGATCCTCTGTCCTGCTGCCTCTTTTTGCCAAATACCTGTTTTTCTTATGATAAATGTAATATATATGCTCCTCATAGAAAATATGAAAAACATAAAAAGTTATAGAGAAGTGAATAACAGGTATTAAAATGTTGATGTATTCTCCTTTGGCGTTTTGCTTTGCCTAGATCAAGCTAGCTGGCTACTTAAATATATTTTAATATTCCACAATTAGGATCTTAATATGTCTCTAGTTACGTATTTTTAATTTAACATTAGATCAGGACAATCTTTCAATATCATTACAGATGCTTCCAAAATATAACAGGTGTGATAGTAGTATCATATATATTGAGCATTTATTATCAACATGTGGCAGGCTGCTTCTAAGCTCTTATGGCTATAATTTCATTTCATCTTTATAAAAATTCTATGAAGTGGATAGCATAATTGTCCTCCTTTTACAGATGAGGAAAATGAGGCCCAGAGAGGTTGTGTGACATGCCTGATGTCACACAGCTAGTAAGGCAAAGAGCTGGGATTCAACCCCAGGTTAGTTGGCCTGGAAAACCCATTATAGCCATGACAACACAGGGATTGCCGGGGCTCTGGGGCATTCCCTCGTCAGACTGTGTGGACTTTACGCATCAGCTCTCTTGTTTGGCAGTTCCCAAGTTTTCTCTTCTGTAAACAGATGCCAAGATGAATATCCCTGCCTATTCCCTTTCCTCCAGTCTGAAGGCCTCCTCGACTCGTTTGTTTTTCCGTGGGCCAAACGGTCTCCCACAGCTTCAGCTCCCCAGGTGTGGGTCTACACGTTGTCCAAACTTCTGGAGTGAAACAAATCTGAAAGAGTATTCCTTTTCCTATTAAGTTACTCAGTGGGGAAGGAATTAGGCAGAGGAAATCGTTAGGGGAGCCATTCAGAACTCTTTGCTATAAGATTAAATTATAATTATTTACAGGGCTGGTATCGCTGCTGCCAGACAGGATGCATTTCTTGTTCTAATTTATCCTTGCATAGCAATTATGGATAAACAAACTTGGAGGCGCAAGATGTATGTGCAAAGAGCCCAGGCTCTCCCCTGCCCATTCTTTGATGGATCCCTGAATTCTTGTGAACGTGCAGCGCGGCTGGTTTACAAGTGCTCTTCTCTTATCAGCTCACATTAAGATGGTAGGATGTTCTCTTGAGTTCTGCACCAAGGTCCAGAAAGACAGCAGATCCTGTTAGAAAAGATGGATTTGAACAACTCACCTGGTGAGAAGAAAGAGACACCTGTGAGAGAGAAGTCCGCTCCCTCCCTCCCTGGTAGGAAGGGCGGGAGGGGTGGTATGGAACGTCCTGACTCAGTTTCCACAGGCCTCTGCTCCCCCAGGTGGGACAACAGGAGAGTTTTGATTAGGGTTCAGATTGTTTAAATTTCATGGACCAGTAAAATTTCCAAACAGTTAGGGAAGCAAAGTGTTGGTAATTTTTTATTTTGCCAAGTAAGGATATTAGAGAAAAACTTGCCAACTCCTTAGAACATGATTTCATAAAACAAAGGATAATCCAAAGCCAAAAATGTGGCTCCATTGGGAGCCTTGTGCTGACAGTGAAAGACGGAGTTGGAGGAGAGCTCACCTGAGTGGAAGACGGAGTTGGAGGAGAGCTCACCTGAGTGAAAGACGGAGTTGGAGGAGAGCTCACCTGAGTGAAAGACGGAGTTGGGGGAGAGCTCACTGTGTGTCCGTAGCGACACGTGTGTGATATGTATCCATCAGTGGACTGCCACTCGCTCCCTTTTTGGAATTCTTGGTTGACCTCTGGGAATCTGATAGCATATGTTTGGAATAGGAATGGCTGCTATGGTGAGCACTGAACCTTGTAACTGACATGTTGAGAGAGTCCCAAATCTTTTACACTTATTCTCCTTTATGTTAGTTGCTTGTTTTGGTGACTGACCATAAGCAAAAGCTGGGTTTGAATTGACTGAGAGTTACAATCCAGACGGTATATTTGGTATTATTTCCTTACTACACATACACAGCCAAATCAGCCCTGACACACACCCTCTTCCAAGGCCCTGCCATCATATACTCATCACTAAGTCAAACTCCCTATGCATACGTACTTCTGTCTCTATTCACTGAACTCAGTTTAGGGGCCAGATTTTCTCTCACTGATTCTTCTCAGGGTGGTGGGTCTTTGTTCTGCTCTGACCCATTCAGTTGGCTATGACCTTCATGGAGCCCCATTCTTCCCATCAAATTCTAGGAAAATATTCCAGCTCATTCCTCATGAGACCTCTGGACTCTTCAGAGGCTGAGACTGAGGGATGCAAAGTCCCCTTTAAACGCAGTTCTGGGTCCCTAGAACCTGAAGGTTCCTGGAGGGTATCAGGATTGTGTTATTGTAACGAGTAGAATTGATCGCCGGCTTACTTCAGAGCCAGCCTCTCCACTGTGGAGAAAATCCGTGAAAGGAAGTCCACTGAGAAGCCATTAGTACCAGAATCCCCCCACCCCTTTCTTTGCCTCATGCTAGGCACTCTCCTTCCTCTAGGCTTCAAGGAAGGAGAGAAAGCCAGACATCCTCTCCAAGGATAGGGGGTGGTCCATGTAGTCCCTCCAGGAATAGGCATTGAGCCTGCGTCTTGATCCCCAACTGGAGAGAGAGTCAGCTTGGGAGTCAAATGGACTTGGGCTCAAAACCCAGATCTACCTCTTAATAGTTGTGTGAGCTTGGGATAG